GTGACGCGTCCTCTGCTTTGCTACGTCGCCGTGTTTCGGTGGGAGCGAGAGGATGAAACCATAAATGCAAATTAATAAAATTCCACACAGGGGGTCTTTGCAGAGCTGTCCAGCATCGCCGCGGTGCGCCGAGCCCCCCCCCCCCCCCCCTCCGACGGCGGGAGCATTGTTGTCATTGTGGCGCTCTGCAGCTGCTGTATTCACTGGAAGAGGCGGCGGTGTCTCTCCGTCCCCTCGGACCCTCACCGTCCCCTCCCCTCACACGCCGGCCTGCAGGGGACACACGGCGAACAGGTCTGTGGCTGCTGACAGGAAGCACCACTAAGTAGATGACACGATTCCAGGATATAATAAAGCTTCAAGTCCCATTTAAACCTTTATTTTTCGGCCTTTTATTTCACCCGCGACCTTGCTTGTGTGTTCCCTGCACGTGTTCTACCGTCACACCTTGAGCTCATGTCTCTCCGTTGCTGTTTGGTGAATAATTCTGTCATGAAGACAATCATTTGTGAATGTTTTTCTGAAAGAGACGGGATCCTTGTGTCCCTGCAGCGTTGGTGCATAATAATGCAGGGCAGTGAGTGGCAGGCAGCGGGGTGAAATCCAAAAGTAACGCAGTGACGTCCCCACATTAGGCGAGTGTTTTTCATGGACATCTTCTCCTGCTTCCTCTCCTCTGCAGCACCGCTGGCACCGGGCAGCACCACCTGCTCCGGGGCTCTTTTCGCTCCGGCCAGAACGAACAGCTGGCTGCTCTTCTGACGCTCTGATTGGCTAATCCCTGCTGGTCACTTGTGCCTTTCCTCCCTGCATGTCATTGAACTTTCTCTCGCCGGGTGCCAGGTCCGAGGAGCGCTCCCTCGCCCCCCCTCGTCTTCGCCCGGGCCGTCCTTCATGTGCCCTGCAAATGGTCCGCCTGGCATATGGGGGTATGTAAATAATTTAATGAGGTCAAAAGGGTGAGAGTCTCCTCCACTCTTCCCTCATCCCTCCGTCCATGACATCATGGCTAATTTGTTAGCTTTCGTTCCAGGAGTGAGATGAGAGGATCAGGCTGGAGCTGAGCTTAGCCTAGCTTAGCTTAGCTTAGCTTAGCGTGAAGACGGGAGACACTGGGATACGTGATGGTGTCTCCAAAGAAAAGAAACAACGGCCTCGTGTCTCTTCCTACGCGTGGAAACGCTTCTCAGTACCAGGTCAAACCTCCCAGATGGTCCCGGTGATGCTTCTCGAGGGCCTTTGAGCTGACGCGACCTGAGTGTGGTCACGTGTCAGCAAGTGGTCGTTTACGCTTCCATGGCAACGGAACAAACTCCATCTGTCGAAGAACATTTTAGCGAGACAGTTTATTGACCGTAGGGGCCCTGCAGAGCTCCAGGATCAGATCCAGGATCAGTGTTTTATTAACCACCCCCGTCAATATCCCGTCAGGTGGCAGGCTGGCTGATCCGCGGTGGACTCCCAGGTGACAGGAGGCAGGAACGTCTTGTGAGGGTTGAGCTCATGTAAGCAGGTGTGCAGAGACACCTGCAGGCAGGCCTCAGCTCCCTGCAGCCTGGCCACCGAGTCTCACCGGCTGATGTGTTCTCCAGGGCCGCTCCGGCTGGCCGCAACGCGGAAAGAAACACGCGACCGAACCTCAGACCCGATTTCATTCGCTGGCCTCCGACGCGTCCCGTCATGCTCCATCGCTCGTATTTTATGCATTAAAGCGGGATCTTTTCTCTCCCCCCTCACGTCTCCATTCTGCGGCCGATGTTCCCTCCCTCTTTCCATACTGTAACCCTCCTTAAATTCACTTCTATTTGCTGTAATTTGTCTCCAGCGGTGTTTAAATAAAGTCGACTCGACATCTGAGAGCCGGCCCTTTACCGCACGTCGTGTTGATGGTGTCTTTTTTTGTCCCTGCAGGGACGGGACGCAAAGCTAAAGCAGGAAAAACGAGGAGGGTTTTCGATGCAAACAGGACTATTTTACAAAGTACCCGTGGAGGTAGCAGAGCCGTCGGGCTCGGCTGCGTGGCACTTGTTGTTTTAAATGTGGGTCGGGCGACGCTCAATACGCCCCGACCCGTTTTTAAATGACGCAGGCAGCGATGCTTCAGTCCCAACATATAATTGGGAAAAATAAAATCAGAAAAATCAATCGGGCATGCTGATTGTAATTGGAAGTCGTCCTGCTCTGAGCCCGGGCTAATGGTCTCAGACAGTATTGATCCCTAAATGGGATCAACATCAGTATCGGCCGATATTCAAGGAGTGACGGCTGGAAGCAGAAGAGTCCACAGAGGAGACATCTAGTTTAGTCCGTCTTCGTTCTGTCTCACCTCTCGTCCACTTTTTCCTCCCCGTGATCTGAGGAATATAATTTATCGTTCTTCCCCTCGACCTACTCTCTGTGGTTGCAGCAATGTTTCATCACATCCATTCCGACCTTTGACCTCCCCTTTGGAAACCGGTGAATTTAAGCTTGCGTGCCAGTCCAACAGATGTAAAATGAAAAGCAGGGGAAGGTTGAGATTTCTCCCCTTAATGGTAGCGATATCCTCCAGAGGATTCCCCCTCGCTCGTCTCCGCATGTGTGGCTGTTCAGGCGGTTCACAGCACATTATCAAATTCATCAGCTAATCATTTAAGACCCGCTCTTTCATCCGCGAGACGGCCGGCGAATGATCCGACGGCACGCCGATCGATGGGAGAATCGGAATATGCAAAGCGCGTTGTAATGTTTGGCATCGCTCGACCTTCGGCGCTTTCATCTGGAGCCGTTTGATGTTGCTCTTAATCTGCATAATGCGGCGAGAGCGGCTAATGGAGTCGAGCGTCTCCTTCGTCCGCCCCGAGTCCACCTGTCAGGCCCCGGGGAGGTCTCAGCGCGACGCCGCGCTAACGTCTGCAGCGACACGCCGCTCACTCAGGAAACACCTGCCTGCCATCAGCGGGCTGAAGGATTTATTAACATCTAGCACAAGTTCACAAGCAGACAAGGCAGATCGTTCGAATCCGTCAGAATGCGGAAACATAAATCTTCAAAGAAATGTCACAAATGTATAGTTGGATTATTTGAACAGGCTCAGTCATTGCACACTCTGATCCAAAGCCACTAGAACAACGGCGCATCGGTTGGGGACTATTTTTTGCGGCGGATTAACACACATTCGGGTGCGGCGCCTGCGTTTGGCAGGAACGCGCTTTGATTGGCGATAATACAAACATGCAATGTGTGTCCGGCCGTGTGAATGCTGATGATGAGTAGAACAAATACAGGTGAAAAGATGGAGAATATCTATGTTTGGTTTTACCTAAACGAGGCGTAATGGGCCGTTGGGCCACGGTCGCTTCGCTTTCATCCACGTGAATATGTGAATCCTAAATGTACGTAATTAACATAATAATGATGGTTTCTGTATGAACTACATCAAGAGGAGAGAAAGATTCCCAGCTCTTCTCCTCCGTTTGTTGTGTGAATAAACATGAGGCGCTGAGGTTTGGTACTCTGTAATTTGGCTACTTTTATTCGAGCAGGGTCATTTTCAAGAGAAATTACAAATTAAGAATTCAATAATACTTTTACAAAGACATTTCAGGAAAGATTCTTCTTCAGTCATGATATCATACATAGTATTTAACAGTCCCTCTTCATTTTTTTGAGCTTAAAAAAAGAAACAAAGATGAAGAAAGTGGAATTTTTCAGTCGAAAATACAGTGTTTTCACAATTGTATAAAAGTTCCCAAATTTGGAATTTTCCAGTAACTGGAAAATAAAGGAAATAAAATAAAATAAGATTAAACTTCGCATTTCACAATGTTTCAAAACACAATAAATGCTCTCTTTACGTAAAATTTGCCCCTATGATCGACACCGTGTTCCTTTTTACTAAAATATATCTATATATTGAAGAACTATAGTACTGTACACAACAGTATGAAATAAATAAAATAAGGAAATATAAAATGGGCCACATAAATAATGTTTTTTTTTTTCAACCTACAAATGAAATGAATGCAATTTGCTGTTTGAAAAAAAGAGAAAGGGTTTGGTGTAATACTGACAAAGTTAAAAGTAAAGAAACAGAGAAAACATTGCACGACATAATGTAAACTAAGAGCCTGCTGCCTATAAGTCTTAATACTGACACGGATGCTTCAAAGAACAACGGTGAACCATTTCAATAATACTGAAGCTGGTGACAAAATGAACCTTCCTTTTACACGATACGAGGGTGGCACTTGCAGAAAACACACAGGTTAAAAGGTTTGCATATAAGGCTTCTTTTTTTCTTATCAAAAACACCTTACAAAGGCTTCGTCCTTCATTTTTTTTTTTTTTGTCTGTCCATAAACCGTATTTTTCCCTTAAAACGAAGGTCTCTCTAAAACTTCATCCCGCTGGGCTCCTTCGTACGGGTCTTTTGTTTCAATTCCTTCATGTGACGCTGATTGGAGAGGCCTGAAATAGTGCGGCTGGAGATGTTTGTGGCAAAAGTAAAGACAACACTGTAGGTAGGTGGGTGATAACAAAGGTAACATCGAAAGGACTGCAGCGCACACGCGGCTGCTCTTTTTCCAACACTGTATAAATATATACATAGGCAATACTTTTTATTATTTTTGTTCATGATTATAGAAGCGGAGTGCAATTTGTACAGGTCACTAGTTGTGCTATAAATACTATGGAACACATGGGGTTTATTTCAGGAGGTTAGCACCACACATATTTTTAGGCCTTAGTACTGTACATTTTTTGAAATGTATTCATTTATTCATTGTTCGGTTTGCATAATGCAGCTTATTTCACAAACCCGTGCCTCCCCCCCCCTCAGCGACCTCCTCCAGATTGACTTTTGAGTCCGCGTCTTGTTCAGCAGACATTAAACTCCTCCCCCCCCCCCCCCCCCTCCCCCTCCCCTCGGCGCCCCCGAGAAGAGGCCGTCAAAAAAAGCTTCCCAGAAGCCTCAGGGACGTGCGGCCGCCGCTCGGAAAACCCCGTTCTCTACCGAATGGGGGAAAAAACTGAGCCCAAAAGGGAGGAACTAAAAAGCTTCTGTTGCGTCGTCGCCGTCGGTTACATGCCGTCCTCCATCGCGTCCTCGTGATCCGATTTGGTTTCCGTCTTGCCGTCCAGCGAGCTGTCGTCCATCGAGTGCTCTCCGTTCTCCTCCTCGTCCCTCAACGTGTCCGGGTCCGTGTCCATGCTCTTGCTCTCCTCCTCCTCCTCCTCGAACTCCTCGTCCCTCCGCCCGATCTTGGCGTACGTTCCCTCCGCCTCCTTCCGTCCCTCTCTGATCCCTCCGTTCACGGCGTCGTGCCTCAGGATGGCCTCGCGCTCCGCCAGCTCCGGGTAGCCCTGGGGGGTCATGCCCTGCAGGTAGGCCCGGCTCATCAGCAGCTCCGTGGGCTCCAGGTGGCCCTTCTCGCGGGCCTCCCGCTCGGCCGCCTCCCGCTCCTCGGCCTCCCGCTTGCAGTAGGAGTAGCGGTGGTTCATGTGCTGCGAGTAGGAGCCCGAGTGGGAGAAACGCTTCCCGCACTTGTCGCACTGGTACGGTTTCTCCCCCGAGTGCAGGCGGGAGTGCTCGATGAGATGGTGCTTGTGTTTGAAGGCCTTCTTGCAGATCTGACACTGGTGCGGCCGCTTGCCTGCAGGGACACAAAACAGAGGGGGGGGGGGAGGAGGGTGAGTCGGCTGTTGCTTGTCCCGCTGCTACAACAAATCACACAAAGGCAGAAAAAGAAAAGCAAAACGTTGAGGAAAAACTCTGATGGATTAGATGGCATGGAGTAAGATGACATCACGGGGGGGGATCAAGTCCAAGTCGGACTTACGACTCGGGGCTTTTTGTTTATTCAAAGCAGAAAGTGCGCTCGCATTCACGCGCCGCCATAATGGAAATCCCTCCCGCGGTTAAAGCGCGGAGGAACTCCACCGCCGCTGCTTATTCTCGGCCCGCGCGCTGCGCCCATGAATAAAGTGCTGCTAAGCAAACAAACAGAAGGCGCGACAACGGAGTAAACAAATCCGGCATGTGCTCGGGTGGGGCGGGGGGGTGGGGGAGGGCGGGGGGGAGGGCGCTCCGAGGGGTTGCCCTGCTTATGCCCGAACACAATTCAAGTTCAGGCTAACGGCCCTCCGCTAGGTTTCTCCTGCGTGTACCGAATGCGACGGGACGCTTCGGATGCCAAAGCAGAAATGAGACACCGAGGGGAGGAGGGAGGGGGGGGGGGGGGGGCAGATGGGGCGGCGGGGTAGTTTTATGACACGGGGCCACAAACTGTCAAAACATCCACGGCTCATCGAGCCAAACTTCTTCCCTCTCGGCTCTAAAAGTTCCCTGCTTCTCCTTTTTTTTTTTTTTTTAAAAAGCTCCCAATAAGTTAATAATAATAACGTTGAAATGTGGCCGTCTGCCTCCCACAGATCACGTGACTGCCTCTAAAGTCCGAGGAGAGAACGCGGAGGCTACAGATAGCAGATAAAATAAATGATGCAATCTAGCGAAATAATGACTGTAATGAAAGGCGCGTTATCGGAGCGCTGAAGCTTCTGAGCACTACGACTATCGGCAACAACGGGCGCTAAAGGCATCAGGCGCTTTATGTACCGAGGCGGGTCGATGGGTCTCTATCGGTGTGATTTGAAAAATAAAGAGCACGAATGAAGAATCTTAACATTTAAACAGTCAAACTTTGGCAACTGAACCCTGTGGATGAAGAAGCAGGTTAAGTGTTGGTTTACATAAACAACTCAAGGGTCAAACAGAGGAGGAGGAAAGAAGGAGAAAAGGGGGGGAACATAAAATAAAGATATATTCATAGTGAGAGGATTTGGAAAGACAAACATTTAAAACATAAAAAGCAACGGGGTTTAAAGTAAGGGTCTAGAACAGTATATACCTGTGTGTTCATATTTGTGTCTTAGAAGGGAACTGCTCTTCTGGAATGTTTTGTCGCACAAGTCACACGCGTACATACCACTTTCGGTCTTCTTAATCTTCTTCCGCGACAGACAGGAGTCGGGGTCTGTCATGTCGTCCAGCCCTGACATGTAGTCGGCTGTACCGTCGAGCAGGTCCCCCTTCAGAGACAAGACAGAGACCACAGGAGAAGACAAAGCGCCGCCGTGAGTGAGCTGACAACATTGGTCTCAGCCGGTCCTCTGAGGCCCGACATGAAGGTGCTTTGAGGAGGAGGAGGGGGGATGAAGATCGGTCTTAAACATGGATTGACGGAGAACAATATGAGCCTCCGTTCAGATCAACAGGCTCGCTTTAAGGACGCTTCAAGAGACCACTTTCCCTCCGCATCAATTTGAACCGAACGCCCGTAGCTGTATTTTTAAAATCTAATTTAATAACTTAGAATAGGAAACATTATTAATACTTTGTCTTTTTCTTCATCAAAATGGTTCCCTCCATGTTAAACAGCCCTCAGCACTCAGCGGTAATGAACATGGAGACGGTGCATTATTAATCCACATGTGGAAGCTCATTTGAGCCGCGCGGCTCTTTAAAAGGCAGCCGAGTTGCGCCGCGAAGTGCACGGCTCCGGGGCTCGCCTCACTCATCCGCACAAAGGCCTTTCACCCGTATTTAACCGGCAAACGTGCGAGTTCCGTCCGGCGCTGCACGAGTCGGAAGCATTAACGGCTTCCACGCGCACACACACAGCGGTAACAATTATGACTCTGCTGAGAGGAGGTTTTATACAATATCATTCCTCTTATTTATTTGAACCCGATTCATATTTTCGGTTATTTATGCTTGTTCCTTTACCTCTTTGAGGTAGAAACGTTTTTGACATTATGGAACTGCAACAAATGACTGTCGTCAAGATTAATGAGCAAACAATCGTATGTGCCAAGTGATTGTTTAGCTGTTGAAATATCAGAAAATAGCTGAACAGAGTAGATCGAGAGACGTGGCACGTCCTCAAATGAGGGAAAATCTGCGCGAGTGCGTCTTTGACCGGCGCTAAAGCTGCTGTACAGCTGCCCGTCCGCCTCTCGGCTCGAGTCCCAGCTGCTTGTCCCTCGCTCTCCTTTGCCAGTTCCGGCCTCCTCAGGTGAGCGCTTCTCTCTCTCCCGACTCTCAAGTCCCTTCTAATTAGTACAAAAATGAGTTCAGACCATTTTAGAGGATGGCGGCGAGCCTGGGGCTTCAAGCGAAGCCGCCGGTGGCTTATTTACCTGGAAACCTGGTTTCCGCTGGTACTTTCTCCTCTGCTGCATCTCGGCAAAGGTAGCCGCCCCCGCGGCATAAGTGTAGGCCATGTGTGGTAGGAAGCCCATCTGCTCCATGCCCGGGTAGGGCCTGAGGCCCGGGATGCTGGCCTGCATCGGGGGCATGAAGGTGGCGGGCGGGAAAGCGCTCTGGGGCGGAAGTGACGTGTACAGGGGTTTGCCGGCGAACGGGTTCATGCCGAAGATGGGGCTAGTGCTTTTCTCGAGGTTTCCGTTGTTGGCCGAGCCTGAGAATTCCTTCTTGAAATAGACCAAGTTGAGCGGCTCTTCGAAGTGCTCTCGGGGCGAGGGACGCTGCCGTGGTCGCCGGCGACGCTGTTGACTTTGGGCCTGCTGCGGACAGTCAGTGCATGCTTGGGCTCCTTCATGAGTCTCGGCAGGGAGAGGTCCAGCGGCTCGGCCTGCAGGTCCTCCGAAGTCAGGCTGTTGGGAGTGTAGGAGCTGCTGTGAGAGTTTTTGGAAGATGTGGAGGACAGGTTTAGCGGGGACGGGGTGTTGCTGCGGGAGTGGTCCAACTTTTCACCCTTGGGTTTGCCGCCGCCGCCAAACTGGTGGTTCTTCAAATGCCTGAGCGGGTTGTCACAGTTGTTCACGTTGTTGTGGAGCTCTGCTATGGAGGGGGAGGTGATGCGGTCAGCAGGCTTCATCAGGGACACGGGTGACCTAGCTGCCAAAGAGTCTTTTGGTGGAGTGTGGTGGTGGTGGTTGTTGGTTCCGACGGCCATGTCCATGTTGTGCCTGTTCTCCAGCGGTGGGGTTCTGGCGGTGCCGTACCGGTACATCTTCTGCTGCTCGAACCACTCCTTGACAAATTCCTGAGGAAGGCCGACTGCGATGGAGATCTTGTGCAGCTCCTCCGAGTTGGGCTCCATGTTCATGGCAAAATAAGCCTTCAGCACGGACATGTGGTCCCTGTAGGGGTTGAGGGGCCCGGCGAACCCCTTCTCAGACAACACGGAGGAGGTCATGTGGTTGCTCTTCTCCATGAACATCGGCGGTTTGTTGGCCATCAAACTCTCGGCGGGCTGCAGCACGGCCTTGATCTCCTCGTTCATTTTACACATGTAGCGCTCGTGCTGGTGCAGAGGTATCGGCCCGGTGAAGGATTCCTTGCAGTATTGGCAAGCGTACGGCGTAAACAGGAGGTTTTCCTGCACCTTCTCCTCCGCACCTCCTTCAAGCATGTGGTTGGATTTCTCTCGTTTGATATTGCTAATCTGCCTCTTTGAGTCCGTGGTCATGCTCTGGAGGCAGGCTTTGGCTTCGTTCACTTTTTCCAGCGTGTAGTCGATGATGCTTTTGGTGGCGCCGTTGTGATTGATCAGCGGGAGGCCGCCCTGAATCCCCGCCGAGGTCAGCGCCTGTTTCTGCTCCTCCACCTGGGAGCCCAGCTCCTTCATGTAGGCCTTGAGCCTGGAGAGCTCCTCGGGCTTGCAGTCCATCTTCTGCCTGCACACGGGTTGTCCACGATCTGCAGAACCTTCTGCACCTCGCTCAGGTTGTTCCCCAGCGGCCCCGGGTAGCACAGGAGCTGCGACTCCAGCCCGGCCATCCCCAGGGGGTGCAAGGGGCTCTGGCGCTGGAGCTGTGGTGGACCCCCAGCGGCTGGTCCCTCCCATGCCCCGTTCCATGAAGGGCCCGAGGCCCGCCGTCCCAGCCGTCCGACGCCATCATCAGCTTGTAGTCGTTGAAGTCGAGCCGCTCCGTCTTGATGCTCAGGTGGTTGCCGTGGTCGGGGAGGCCGAGCGGCTTGCCGTTCTCCAGCTTTTTGCCGCAGCTGGGTGATGGCGGTGTTGGTGGGCGAGGAGGAGGAGGAGGTGGGGGAGGAGCCTGTCTTCATGTTGCCGCGCATCCTGCCGTTGACGGCGATCAGGCCGATGCACTTTTTGCTGCTGATGTGGGAGCTGTAGGAGCCCGAGTGGGAGAAGCGCTTCTTGCAGTTGGGGCACTCGTACGGTTTTTCACCTGAAACCAAAAAAAATCAACGATTGTAAGACGGCTGATGTTTTGTGTGTTTATTAATCACAATAATCACAACGTGCAATGTAATTGTTGAATGCAATTAAATGAACAGATATACGTGCAGTGCCGCGCAACATTATTGCGGAAATGAAGCAATAAAAAAGCTAAATCAGCCTCATTAATCTGTCCTGTGGCCCTTAGTAATACGCTAACACACATTCTAAGCAGATATGTAACTATTGTAACTGGACTGATTAACACGGCAGAGCACCGCGTCCTCCGGCGGCGGGGAGGGTCCAGAAGGGACCGGAGAGGACCTCCTTAACGGCGGTGGGGGTGCGCGTGGGAGGAGCCGGGCGGAGCGACTCACCGCTGTGGATCCGGAGGTGCTCCTTCAGGTGGTGCTTGTACTTGAAGGCCTTTCCACACTCGGTGCACTTGAACTTGCGGTTGCCGGCCGCTTGGTTGAGCAGTTGGTGCTGCGAGAGAGGGAGCGAGAGGGAGATTCATGTTGAAGAAATGGAGGACGCGGTCACAAGCGGTCGGCATGACAACAAGTAACAAGCCGCGCGGCTCCTTTGGCCTCGCGGCTTCCTCCTCCCACCTCGGCCAGCGACTACAGGCAGCGGCGGCGATAACACACAGAGTCGCATACCTTTTAATTTCCTGGCTGCTCAGCCGGAGGAGGCGCGCCTTTACAATTCGGCAGCCCGGAAAAATAGAATAAATGACGGGAGTCTCTTTAGGAGCGTTTCCCCTTCATTAGAAGCGGCGATCGGATCTACTTTTCATTAACTTTAGGCCTCATCAGTCTGAAGGAGTTCACGGTGCTCTGTGCATACCTGCATTCACACGCCTCCTCCTCCACTGAGACCTTCCAGCGAGCTACGGGCCTTTTCTTTAAAGGCCTCTCTGATATTCTTATGGTCTAAACATGCGCAGTTCTCCGACAACAACAACAACAACAACAACAGCAGCCCAGCGAGCTGACTCCTCACTGCCCAAACTGTTCATCCAGGCGCTAAACGCTTAGCAAATAAAAAGCCACATCTTCCCTGCGCTCTGTAGCAGGGGGAGGGACGGGGGGGAGGGGGGGACACAGTGACTCCCTCCTCCCAGTTCAGCCTTGACAAATGCTGGGGTGTGTGCTGACTCTACCCACATTCCTGGGGAGACAGATGGCGGCGCACAGGACACTGGGAGGACTGGGAGGAATTGTTCAAACAGCCCCAACCTTCAAAGATCAAGCGGGGGGGGGGGGGGAGGGGGGAGGGGGGAGAGTCGGGGGCCCCGCCGAGCGCCGTGGAGGGACCCCACCGCTCGTATGTTGCTGAGTTGCATAAACAAACAGCAACAGCTGCTTCGGCGCCTCCGCCCCCCCCCCCACCTCACCCCTCCGCCCTCCCCCGAGGGCCGCTGCCCGCTAAAGTTTGGTCTCGCCACCACCGCTAATAAGACACCGTCGCTCCGTGCTCCTAATTGTGAGTGGCACCGGCAAAGCGCTGCGTCTCCTCTCCGCGTGTGTCGGCGCGAACGCCACCGCTGCTGGTTGTGGGCGGAGACCCGAGTGGATGTTTGCATATGTATAACCTCTAATTAGTCATATTGCAGCTAATTGGTTAAGAGGAGGCGGAGTATTAAGGCTTGTAAACACGCGAGAGAGAAGAGCAGAGCACATGTTCACCTATCAGGACATTATGTTTTATGTTAATCTCGTCGCTCCTGACTTGTTAATTGCCAAATGTGCATTTTCACACGATTGCACGCGTCTCCTGAACAACAGGAAGCGGCATCACGTTTGTGAGGGCTTGATACGTAAAAACAAAGGATCAGATGTAATAAACGGCCAAACAACGCAGCGCTGGAGAAGGCCATTGAGTCCGGGGGGGGGGGGGGGGGGGGGGGCAGCATCAGCATCGTAATATGAGGACCGGGACGTCCGGCCCATCTGCTCACGGTCACACCCAGCTGGTAGATCAGGTGAAAGTGCCGGCTCCCGACATCTGATCAAATCAGCCACAGTCTGAGTCTGTCATCCTCGCTTCAAAGGGCACAACCCCCCACGTCACCCCCCCCCACCCCACAACCTGGAACAAAACACTGCTGAGCGCTGAGTACGTGACATCATCTGTGATCCGCTCAAAGTTAACATGAGATGTCAAAGACGAGCGTTTTACGCTCTTTTTTTTTGAACGAATTCTTCGTAAACGTATTAAACCGAAGATTATAAACATCCTCTAAAGCACAAATACAGACTCCATCTCCTTCCAAATTCACTGCTCAATTTTAGTTCACTGAGAAGTTACAATTATCCCCCAATGTGCACATTTCTGTAGGCATGCCCTTTATTTCTTTTGCCACGATCTATCTCGGCCTCCATCCTCAACGTGCAGCTGACAAGCGAGTTAAACAGCCGTGACTGCTGGATGTGTTTTCACCTCACAGGACTTTAAGGAGATTCACGCTAACTGCCAGCCGCTCGCATTACATCTCAGACATATAGGGTATAAATCGCGTGAGGAAATTCAAGTGTACACAGATGTTTATGCGGTGCATGAAATGAGAAGTGGGGGGAGGGGGGTTGATGGAGTGCTCCTGCAGGCTGCACCACGAGAAGATTAAAGGCCAGGAGTGAAGTGAAGTTAAGGAGCTGATAAAAATTTCCAAATTGGAAATTCACACAATCATTCGATCGTGAACACGAGACTGGAAAATGATATCAGGGAGGGCCATCAAAAACCCATTTAGGGCCTCAATTAAAGTTATTACCATTAAAGGATCTGCATCTTCAAAATGCCATGAAAAATTAATAATGATTGCCAATCAGAAAAAAGTGATCCGTCTTCTGTGAGGGATCCGAGCACATTAGGAACGAAGCAGGAGGAGGAGGGCAAACAGAGAGAAGCGAAGGATGAAGAAGAAGCAAAATGGAAACCCCCCTAACCTGGTCCCTGGCGGGCTTGTGTGTGGCCATGTGCCGCTCCAGCTGAGTGCGGTAAGCAAACGTGTAGTTGCAGAGCGGGCAGGCGAAGTTCTCCTCGTTCTTCTCATGGCGGTACTTGATGTGCTCCTTCAGCGATGTCAGGCGCTTGTAGCCCCGGTCGCAGTAGGGGCAGGTCAACAGTTGGGCGAAGGCATCTGGCGTTCCAGGTGGCAGGTCTGCACGGGAGACAGCGGGAGGAGGGAGGAGGAAGGGTGAGGGGAGGGGGGAGGGAGGAGGAAGGGAAAGCGGGCCAAAAGGTCAGCGAATCAATGGCAGCTAACGGGCGGGCTGCCCAGAGTGGTATGGGAGTTATCTCTGCAATCTGCTCCACATGAGAGCCCCCCAGTGTCGGGCTGGCATCCGCTGCCTCCCCCCACCACCCCCCCCCCCCATTCCCCTGGACAAAGTAACACGCACACACGTGTACGCCATCGGCCCACAGATGCCTTCCGTCTCGCTCTAAACAGCCCTCACTTTTTAATGCCATGTCCGCAGCATGAATCATGAGCTCATTCCAACCCCCCCATCACTTTCTCCCTCCGGGCCGTTTCAGAGGTGCGCTATCTGATTTCAGGCCCCTGCCCAGCTGTTGCCTAAGACGGTAGGTAAACACCGAGGCATCCGGTGAATCTGTGGGAGCAGCAGCTGCCCGCTTGTGTCAGCGCGCTGCTGCTCCCCTGTTCCCCTCCGAGCCGGATGGAATCCCTGTGTGACCCTCACCGTTCTCTCCGGCCCGGCGGCTCCGGCGTGCCCAGGCGGGACAGCTCCTCCGGGGCCTCCGAGTAGATGATGGCGGTGTCGCCCCGCTGCAGGTACTCGGCGATGCTCGCCACGTGGCTGTCGCCGTCGTCCAGCTTCCGCTTGCCTAAGAAGTCCTCGAACTCCGAAGTGCAATCGACGCTCTTGACTGAGGGGGGGGAGAGAGAGAGGGAGAGAGTCGGCGGTGGAGAGGGAGAACGGGGGAGGGACAAATTGGATTCATTTGCTCCCCTGAGAAATGTCTTACACGGTGGATATTGGGAACATCTTGGTGGAAATGCGATGAGGGCCGCCACCCTAAAACATTACAGCCGTGCTTTGGGGAGAATACATCTAAATTACTGGCTTTGCTTGTCACGCCAGGCCGGCTAAAATAAGAATCGTAACTTAATCGGGGCCAAAAGTCCGAGATAAACGAGCTACCATGAGCGACGTGTCGGGAGAACTTCACTGATTCACCCGAGACAATCGTGTTTAGAGTTCAGGGCTGTAAAACAAACACACATGTGCACCATGTACACATACATGCGTCCGTACGCACAAGCTGGGCTTAATCTGCAACAGAGCTTCCACATATAAGGTCAATCAAGACTCTGTGGCTTTTGTTGATTCTGCGTTGGACAGATTACCGGGGCCAAGCCACAAGCCGGCGAGGGGGGGAAAAAAAGAGAAATAAAAGAGAGAAAGACGTGCTTTGCCATCGCGGAGCAGCATGTATCTTAAGCCAGCCAAAGTGCTGAGGCCACACAATGCTTTTTCTCTAAATTATTTCCCAGTCCCTTCTCTTCAGGGAAACTCCTAAGCTGCAGTGTGGAGATAGCTGCCTCCAAAAACAAACCGGAGCTAAAAGAAATCAGCAGCCTTCATTAGTCAAGGGGATGGCTGACTTTCAAAACACACACACACACACGCACGCACACACACACACGCACATACACACACACACACGCACGGTTTGCAACCTGGAGAAATTCTGCTGTATCGAACCCCAAAAAAGCGAGTGACGTCTCGTCAGGCTTCACCCCGTTAATTAGGCCTAGGTGAGGTTTAAAGAGCCGCTTGTCCGGTCCAATTTGGGAAAGGTCAAGGTAGCGGATATTTGGATGTCAGCATTGGCGGCGAAATGTCATCGGTGCCAAAGGACGGCGTTTGATGGCCGTGATCGCACAGGACGCAGCGCTCTCATTACTCCAGCTTCCGCGGCTAATTGTGAGCTAACCGTTGTTTCAGACGGCCTGATGACATAAACAACAAACAGCCATTAAGGGGGACAACGTTTATTTAGTGCTTCCCTCGGTGCAACGTCAGCATTTATCTCAAAACGACCAACTTTCTCCCGCTGCCGGGGGGAAATCACCTGGATCAAAGGGGGCTTTGGCAGCGGGACGTGATCAAACTGCTCATGTCTCTAATGAAATCACATGTGATCGGGTGGTGGCGAGCTTCCACAGTCGTGGCACAGCATTGTTTCCAAAAAAACTCCTTTAAGCAGCGAAAATGGAAAACATTTGCTGAAGTTGAAGGTTTTTTTAAGAGCAGGGAGAAGCGAAGAGGAGAACGACGAGGAGCAGAAAGTCACAGTAATTAAAGCCGAAGGGAGGACTCGGTTCGCTGTGACGGCGTCCGGCATGATTTCATGGACGAGAGGGGAGGGAGGCTGAACATCAGCTTAATGAAAAGTGGCAGGAAGGGTTCGGTTCTAGTAGGCAACGGATAACAAACACTTTGGTCACCAGGAAGGCTGAGAAACATCAGCAACCCGAGGCTTATTTCACCCGCTGCTGCAGGACGGCTTCTGGATTCTTGGTCTCATCGAAATGTTGCAGAGAAAAACTCACCTGTACCGTTTCCGACTGCCTGCAGAGCGGCGTCGGGCCCCAGGGCGTCGAAATCATCCTTTATTTCATCTGCAAGGACACAGAGGAGGGGGGGGGGGGGGGGGGGGGGGGGGGGGGGGGGGTAAGTACCTCGGTGCAAAACAACAAACACACACAACGAGGCCTTTAGGAAGAAGCTATGCAGAGGGCCACGAAGGCGGCGGCGTGCATGGCGGCGCTTAATGAACGCTATCATCTGCGCCAGGCGGTGACTTATTTACCTTAAACACGTGGCAACCAGCGGCGAGGGAAGCGGAGGAAGCGATTAAATACGACACGGAGCACGACCACCTGAGCAGACCACAGGCCTCATTACGGCGCGCTGCGATGCCCGTCTCTTCACGTGTCCTGTTTGCCTTTCCTCCAGAGCGGCGGCGGCGGGCGCGCACATTCTTTTGATTGGCCACAGCGCTGGCGGAGAGTCCGCGCTACCGGCCCGGCCCGAACGCAACCCCGGACCACAAATTAAGAGTTCTACTTGCGCACACATTTCTCCGGGGCAGAAATAAACCTCACTGGTCGGGGTAAACCTCAGGTGGGCGGAGACAGAGAATGTTCTCTGCTGATCCCCGTGAAACGGGATACAGGTTGAAAGCAGTCAGGCGTCCACTGGACACCGCGTTGAAGACCTCTGGCTCTCCGGTACCGTCCACGAGCCGTCTGCCTCCCAGCGGGCCGAATGTTTGAGGAACTGCCAATCAGGTTAAATGGCGCCCCGGCGTGCGCACATCTCGTCCCGGCTCAGGTGAGGACGCGGCCCGCAAATAAGCGGCGGACCGACAGGCTCATAAACAGGCCGTCTTCTGACGGATTCGTCCCTCCGCGGTCGACAGGACGCCGACCGGACAATCAGCTTAGCGGCTCCCCCGGTGCCGCCTTCCCGCCTTCCCGCCTCCTCGGTAGAAATTAAATCAAGGTGCTTCCGAGAACACGGGGGCTTTGTGCACGAAAAAAAAAAAGAGAAAAAGGGAAGAAAGGGAAGAGAAAAGCTGCATTGTGTTGCTAACGCGCATCTGTTGTTGCTCTCCTGCGAGCGAGGACGTCACAAGTGTTGCATTGTGGAGCTCCGTGTCCGCAGCAGGACCCGGTGGATCCGGCGCCGTGAAACAAAGATGAGCGCCGGCGTTGCAGATATCACAGGAAAGGTGGTGGGTGGGTTGTTTATAATAATGTTATCCTGCGACACAAAGGCCAGAAGCAAAACACTTTCTTATTTTGAGTCAAACACAATGGGTTTAATAGTCGTGGAATGCGTTCTGAGCCTCGCCATTCCGCGTTTTCTTGAAGTTAGAGACTTGGCTTCTGCGGTGAAATGATAAATACGCCTGTCAATGGCTCGCCCGAATAATGACAGGCTCTTCTGGAGGGGTATGTCCTAGTTTAACTTTCCCCTTGCTCGCAGTTTTTTTTTTTCTTCCTTTTTGGGACATTGGATTGCACGTCTGCCAAAACGGCGTCCAAGCCGCAGTCGCAGGACGAGAAAACAAACAGGTTTCAAACAACATAAATGAAACTGTGACAGAACAAAGCCCAGATTCAACACATGCCCACACGCATTAGCTATCAGCACGTATGACCACACTCACATGACGCGTCTGTGAGGCGTAGCGACCAGGGGCCGGGGGGGTTTACTGCCCCCCCCCCGCGTTTACCTCGGAGAACCTTTGCTATCGGCGGCCTGAGGGCGGCGGCGGCGGCGTCGTGGAGCTGGGCCTCCTGTGCACGATGCCGCGGCTTTCGTGTCTCTTCGGTAGCTACAATTTTCAAGATTTAAAAAAAATGTCACGAGTAAAAATAAAAAATAAAGAGCGCTCGGATTTCTTTATGCCACAAGAATGTGCCTATTTGTGGACGTGGAGAGCCCGTTTTCTTTGCACGGCGCGCTGGAAAAGTGTGTTTTGTCAGTGGTAAATCACAGAGGACGTGAGGCATTAAGGTACACACCTCCTGGAGGAGCGATGCTGAGGTCGGAGTCCAGGGCACCTCGGCCAGACTGTAATTCTACCTATTTTCATAGCGGCCCCGATGCTGTTTATTTAGAAAACATTCCTCTTTTTACGGCCCGTCACCACAGTCGCTTTAAAGTTCCGTCTCCCTCCTCCTGAATCCGTCTGGTGTGCACACAATGGCCTCCGACGCAGAGAAAGGACTTGATTTGAGCAGGATTGTGAAAGCCGATGCCGTCTCTTGATATTTTTACAATGAGGTTGTCAACAGCAGATATTTTGTGTCAATGTTCCATCCCTTCAGATTTCGGCTCTTTGCAGCCAAAGAATACAGAGTTTTTTTTTTTTTTTCCTCTTGGCAGGCTGGAAAAGCATCTGATCCGCAGCACTTATTGAAAGATGTGGGAAACCCCTGGACGCACGAGGTGTTTGAAGACAACAACAACCACTGTTTTATCAGAAACAGAGGGACGCGTTTGGCCAACGTCTTTAGTATCTCGTCTGAAACCCGGGGAGGAAAGTGTGGTTTCTTCACTGTGTAACTGCTGCAGCGTTTGAAAGGGGGCAGAAAGCAGGTGATTCATTTGAGCGGCTCTGCCGGCGATGATGATGTCACCCTTTCCAGCACAAGGCGTCCAGCCTCGACGTGGGACGGAGGAATGTCAAGGACGACGCCAGACACCCGGGGCTCTGATTGTGCCCTGGAATCGGCAGCCGGCGGTGCCTCGGAGAGCCGGGCCGGGCCGGGCCGGGCCGAGCGGCTCCGCTGCGTCGCGCGCGTTCGAAGGAGCCAGAAGACGTGAGGCGACTCGCCGGAGGGTCTGGCAGCGATTCCAGGGGGGGCGACGTTTGTCCACAACTTTGAGGTTTTTCGGAGTTTCCAAACTCCTGACGAAATCCACTCGCGCTTCCAAGACCCCGCGTGAAAACCTCTGGATAGGGGAGGGGCGGCCAGACCAGTCCGAGTAGGGGGGGGGGACTTATCTCAGGCCTAAGTTATGTGCTGAGGTATCACTGTAGACACTTAGGCACCGAGGAGGAAAAAAGAAACAGGGAAACACAGCAGCCGCAAGATTGGGAAAGAGACTCCCGAGCGCTCTAATGAACTTGAGTTGCTCTGCGAGATGTCAGACGCTTTATCACACCAGAGGCTTCCTATCTGGGAAGTTGCAACATAGTTGAATTACAGACATTATGGCACCACAGGTCTTTATCAAATAAACAATTGCCGTACGCAACACAACGTCTTGTTTACCCTTCATCCTGATTTATGTACCAAACCGTCTTTTCTTTAAGGAACAAATATCAACTGTTGTTTGGGAGAAGCAAACGTTGAGACCCACCCAAGTTATTATTTTTTTTTCCATCCCTAATAAATGTGCAATTCCCCCCCCCCCCCCGTATTAAAATTTAAGCCCGCCGAACGCTCGGCACGTTTCGGCGGCGTGCACTAGTTCATTAGCAGAAATGAATAGCACAGCGCGGCTCATTTAAATTGGCTGTCTTACATGACTTCTCGCCGTACTCTGTTCCTGTCACATGCTTCCAAGAATCATTGACTCTTATTATACATGTAAATGGCTATCATAAAAATAAAAATTTCATTTAAGATTGTTAATGACTTTCCGCAGCAGTCTGGCTTCCTTTAATGATTATACCGTGGCCCCTAATTAAAAGTATTTATCTTTCAAGCATCCGTGACCGGGGCCCCCGCCGTCGCTCAACAAAAGACCATAAGTCAGTCAAGTTGGCGGCGGCGTCACCTGCCGCGAGGGAGGAGGGCTCACGGGCATCCGTCACCACTGGTGCACTGTGGGTAAAAAAAAAAAAAGCAGCCTCGCGCGTCGCCCGCCGACTGAAACATTGAATCGTATTCGACCAGATTCTCGGCTCGCTCGGCTTTTTTTTTCCCCCCTGTTTTTTTTTTTTTTCCCGCCAGGTTCGACATTTCTGCAAACATTCCTCGTTGTCTGGCTCGGCGCGGGACTTTTCTCTAAGCGCGAACCAAATGGTCCCCGCCGCGGCGTGCGTGGCGCCTGTCTGCCGCGGCGGCGCCGTCAGACCCCGGCTCAAGCGGCGTTTGCACAGCGCCGAGCGGGGTTTGTTCAAGCCTGCTCGGGCACCAGATGGGAGGGGCTTACGGCGTAAGACCACGCCGCGAGTGGCAGGATGCGCACACATTTGCCAATCCCAGAGTCGGCTTAGTGGCGGCTCCTCGTGATTGACGGCTCACCTGAAGGCCCCTCCCCCCCCCCCCGCCCCCCCGCACATCTGGTAAGAGCACACGGAAGACAGAGGAACTCACCGGTGCCGTCCACGGAGGCGCTCAGCATGTCGTTGTCGGGCCAGATGTGCTCCACGCCGCTGTCCCTCATCTCGTCCTCGTCCTCCTCCTCCTTGGTGAGCAGGCCGTGGCTCTCGGCCCGCGGGGAGGCCTCCGGGTTGGTGAGGCTGGCCGGGCTGCCGGCGCCGTTGATCATGGGGTCTTCCTCGGACGCGGGCAGCTTGTCCTCCTCCTCCGTCTCCGAGCCCGTCTCCACCACGTTCTCGTAGCTCAGAGCTGCTTCACACGGGGAGACAAAGGAAGGGCGGTGAGGTCAGGGAAACAACGAGGATCCGATACCGTCAGCGCTGTGCTTCTAAGCGTTGCTGGCAGCCTGTCACGCTATTGGTCGACGCATGTGGGCGTGTCCCGGAGTGTCAGCTGAGTGATTAAACTCTGAACATGAATGACAGACGAGTCTGGAAAAGGATTTGAACTTTTGGAAATGGAGGTTTGTTCCCAAATTAAAAAGGTCGGCCCACATCACCGCCCGGCCCGAGGCGTAGGCCTTCTTTTTTTTGGGGGGGGGGGGGTGGAGGGAGGTTACACCCTAATTACAGCATCCACGACTGGAATCTGTGACTGAAGCACAGCTGTCGAGGAGACGCCAGCCAAAATAGCCACTAATTTTTCGGTGGCGCTCGCATGCCGCGGATGCCGGCGAGCTGCACCTTTCAGGAGCGCGGCCGTCACGTCTCGCGTGCCGCGCATAGCGCCGCCTCTCAACACATGTAGATCAACTACAGTAATTGCGATTATTCACCACGTGTCCCCCCCCCTCGGATGTCTCCGCATTTGCATCGCCGGTGAAGCATGAACATAAATATGAATGTTTCCCAACATATGAAAATATGACAGCGGCTCGGGGCCTGTTGAGGGCGCATATGCAAGGAGGTATAGACACACACACACACACACACACACACACACACACACACACACACACACACTAATCTCCAGAGGAGCATCCACAGGGCCCAGGTCCCAGACATATGCCTGCTTCTCTTAAAATAGACGGCCTGTAAATACGGGCTGTGAACTCAATCAAAGGTGCCTCGCGTGCAAATTAGTCACCGGCGTCGGCGGGTTCTCGGCGGGTTCTCGCCCCTCGTGGCGTAAAGAAGACGTCGGGCGACTTATGGAGGGGTGAAGACGGAGCGCCAGGCGACACACCTCACCGCTGCCTGTACAGGAACGTTAGCGCTGATCAGCTCGGGGGGGGGCCGACCCGACCAGAGGCTTTAACACGTTTAAAAAGCTGCAGAGAAGCTCACAGGGTCGGTGGTGAGGATCCGATTTGCATCAAATGTAAATGTAAACCACCGGCTTAATTACGGCGCTTTGAAAGTGTCCCCGCCTCTTGAACTCTCCCAGAATCAAGACGAAGTTCATGCATGACGTTTTCCTACGTGTGAAAACATAAGCCTCCCCACGTCCCCTCCCAACACGGCCGCCCGCCACCGACCGGCCTGCACTTGCCTTCAGCCAACAACTGCACAACAGGTGCAAATTAAAATGAAAACAGGCCTTTCAAACGTGGGAGGGGAGGCCGGGAGGAGGAGGAGGCGGGCGGGCGGGAGGGAGGGAGGGACGGAGGGAGGGCGGCGGGGGCGCGGTGACCTGCCTCGAATACCAATCGACGGAAGAAACAAAACCTTTTCAAGAGGTGTGATCACAAGGGTTTAGGCAAGTCCAGACTCAGTAATGCTGCTCGGAGATGACAAAAAGGCCACGGAGACGTCGGGGGGCTCCTGGGTGGTCCGCGGGCACCTCGGTACCGCTGGTTCTGTGCCCCCCCCCTAACAAGAAAAGAAGCCTTTACCTGTTTAATTAAACAGTCCCTTCGAAACAACAAAATGTCACTTAGGAATTTAAGGCCCCGTCACCTCTGAGGTTTTGAACTTTTCTCAGCAATGTCCCATCAGCTCTGCCCCCCCCCCCCCCCCTCTGTGGGGACGGGGGGGGTAGAACAAAAGGCCGAGAGGCTTGGGAAGCTATCAACCCGTCGCTGTGAACCTGATCTCTGGATGCAGATTCAATGGCGGCTGAATGAAATTATCTGAGGCTGGACAGGTTTTAAAGGGGCCATTCTTCCCCGATAAAAGGAGCGAGGGAGCTTCTTTTTGTTTAGCAACACATCCAGCGCGCCAACACACAGCGGCCTGACTCCGGCGCTCCCACACAGGCGGCGAGGGAGCGCCGCGGACCTTCTCGGGCCCACCGCTGAGGACTCGCGTCTTCAAAGCAGATCCCGGGGAAGCAAAGTGGAGCTTTTCGTGTTTCTGCCTCCGGGCTGCTCGTTCCTCCCGTGACGTCTTGTTCTCAACTTTCTGAACAGACTTAAGCACGGGGGGGGAGGGCGGGGGGAGGGGGGGCGTCGAACTGTCTCCGGGAGCTGCAGTAGATGCAATCTTCTTCTCCCGACGTCAGCTGCCTCCCCCGCGTTCGACGTGCACCTCCGAGCCGGCGAAATGACAGCGGGGCGCTCGTCAAGTACCGACGTGGAGAAAGACGCCATTGTTTGGGTGCCACCGCTGACAAGAGCCTCTCCCCGCCATCTATTGGTATTGTGTCACGCAACAAATTATTTCTAACCCACTAATATTTCGCAGGCAGTTATTTCGCACCCCCCCCCCCCCCCCCATCGCCAAACCACGCTCCTAATCAGGCCTTTGTGTTGCTGAGGAGAGGGAAGGACAAAGAGAAGACAATGCTGCTCTCCTCCTTTTCTTACCTTAAGTGTCATCGCCAACAAAAGTCCTGCTACCTGCCCCACGCCGCTTCCTCCCCCTCTCCGTTTTTCTTATTCCTCCCTCCGCTCGAGGTAAATAAAAGGAGAGCGCTTTGCGGATAATTAAAGTGACACATGTAACGACGCGATTCTGGCTTAATATCGGGTTTTACGGCGTCTGCCATAACCCTTTCACGGCCCGGCATTATGGTGTCACTCACGTGTTGTGTATTGATCGGGATGACGAGACTTTGATGAGAACACAAAAGGGGGCCGACGCACTTTTACTGTGTTCGCGCTCACAAGTCAGCGGCGTGGATTCAGTGCGGGGACACAA